TGTATGATCATTCAGTATTTTTGATATGGTTATGCCTAAATATTTGTACGTTTTACTTTTTTTTAATGTCAAGTTTCCTAGTTTTCAAATTGTGTCCTTTTTGTGGAGTTTCTTGCCAAAATACATTATCTGTGACTTGGATTGGTTATAACTAAGTTTCAATTTACTAGCGAACTGAGCTGCTATATCAAGCATACTTTGAAGTTCACTTGCATCATTTGCTATTAAAGCTACATCATCTGCCCAAAAAAGCCCTGGAATTATTTGAGTTCCTATCCTCACCCCTAGTTTTGATTCAAATAACATTTTCGCAAATTCATTTATATAAATTGAGAAGAGTAGGGGGCTTAAAACGCATCCTTGTTTTACACCTTCACTGGTTTCAAAGTATATTCAGTCTCAATATCATTAAAATTGACCTTATTAAAAACATTCTCATACATGTCATCTATAATATTCCATAATTGTCCGTGTATTCCTGCTTTCCACAAGGATACTCGCAAACCATCCCTCCAAACTCTATCAAGCGCTTTTGAGAAATCAAGAAATGCTACATAAGTAGATTTCTTACTCTATTTCCCGGACGCTATACCTTTGAGTGTAAACACATGATCCTGACATCTCCTATTAACTTCCCTAAAACCTCCTTGAATTTCTCCCAGGATGTTATTTTCTTCAACAAATTTTTTTAACTTTGTTTCAATAACCTTACTGTAAATTTTTGAAACACAGGAATTTAGAGTGATACCTCTGTAGTTGTTGAGGTCTTTTGTATCACCCTTTTTGTGGATTGGTTTTACAACACCCTCTTTCCAGCCATCAGGAATTTTGCTTTCTTTTAGAAAGGACTTAAAAAGTAGCGTTAATGTCTGGGTTATTGTATAGTTTTCCAGAGGTTTTTCTAGAAAAAAAATGCAAGAGGGAGCACTCCAATTCAGTGGCGCCACCAAGTGAGGGAGATGGGGTTCTCCCTAACAGGGTGTGGAGTTTTTGATAATTCTCAGTTAAAATGGCTTCCTTGGGGCTAAAATTACTATCAGACAGGTCACAGTTGAAGACTGTGGCTGCATGTGATCCCTGGTCAATCTGAATTTTATAGTTGCCAGAGGACCTGCTCCCCAGGGTAAGGGGGTGCATGACCATGGCATGAGGGCACTGTGCCCCTGTTCCCTTGTTTAAAAAAATCCCTGGTTTTCTGTTAGTGCTTTATAAATAACTTTAGAATATGATGAAGATAAAACATCTTTTTTTGTAGAATCTTTTCTTTCAATATATTTTGCACATAAATTTGAGTGTTTTTGTTCATGAAATGCTTGTTTTACCAGGTTTTTTAATTTGTGAATAGTATTTCATCAGATTAGTTTTGATGTCAATTATAATGGTAGTTTTCCTACCTCAGCTCTACATGCTAAATTTGTTTAGACTCAGTTGTTACTTTATGTATGAAGAATGCGTGGTTGAGCTGTTTAAGGTAAAATTGGCAAGTTTAAGTTTATAAGTCACAGATATGCACGTCTGCACATGAAATGGAATTTGACATAGGGCAACATCTGATTCATCTTAACTCGTAAATATTCAACTTTCACTGAACCATGTGTCATGAAATTAAACAGGTTCCACGCTTTTACAGAAATAACTATGAGTTGTTATTATAAGGTGATAAGACGATAATTACCTGGAGCTAAGGATATGATGTACCAGGCAGAAACCGATGGTGGTTTCTGTGACAGTGCAATTAAACAAAGTTGATGCTTCTTCTTTGTAGACCAGAATGTTTACTTCCTGTTTATTTATAGTAGATTTTAAAAGGTCATGGAGGATATCAAATTTTAATGTTTATGTACAGATCCTGCAAGGTTATTAAGGATGTTGTTGTTTTTTATCATCTTTGTTTCATGAAAGACGGAAACCTACTGGGTTTATCCTTTTTTTCCCTCTTGTTATGGGTAATAGGCATGCAGTAGTCATAACACATTCATTTTATGTGCAGACATTTTCTAGTCAGTTCTATATTGAAAGATCCTTTGTTAACCTGAGAGTACCTGACTACTGGTAATCTGAGAAGGGTGCAAATGGTGATGATTGCAAGTGGTCCTTCCAAGAAATCATGTTGTAGTTGTTTTACAAAGAACTCAAGCTCATCTGAGTCATGATGCACTGTCTGTAATATTTGGTGATCTAATAGAGCTTCATTTATTTTATTAGTTGAAACATTTTCACCACCAGACACTCTCATTCTTTTTTCTTATATTCTTCAATATTTCTGGAAATCATAGAGGTAGAAAATGTGGAAATGAACCCTAATTTTGGAGCCAACAGTCAAAATTTGAGTCAATTTTCAGTTTTTATTCATAAAATGTGTCTATTTTTGTCCTAATCTTCTGAAAGAAAGTGCAGACTATAACAGGACTATTTTTGTGATGACATAATAATTAATAAGACTATAATTTGTGATGAAAAGAGGGAACTGGTAGTGAACCAAATGAATTATTATACAAATTAAGCCATTATTATGCATAGATTTAGGACTGTATATTGTTTCAGGGCACACATGTACCAAGTTTCATTATAATTTCACTAAATTAGTGGAAAGCTGAAAAGTAAAAATTGTTATGCAAATTAGGTAATTATTATAGATGTACATGTATATAAATCTAAAACTAATTTGATCATCACATTGTGTTAGAGTATATATGTACTAAGATTCATTGAATTAAGATAAGTACTATCACAGATTATATATGTATGAAGTTTCATTGAAATGTGATTAGAACCAAACAAATATGAATTATTATGCAAATTAGGTAATTAATATAATCTGATTTTAACCCAAACCTGAGCAGGGCTTGTTCTAGAGCATCAATGTACCAAGTTTCACTGAAATGGAATAATTAGTACATGTGATATCAGTGTAAAAGCTGAAAATTAACTAATTGAATTCAGTATCGGTATTTGCATTTGTAGTTTCAATATTATTTTTATCTATTTTTATTTTTTACTAATATCTTTATGTTTCTTTACTTTTCATGTAGTTATTTTCATTTTAGTACCGGTAATAACTGATTTGTAACCCTTTTCATCCTCTCTTGGGGGTGTTATGTGTTAATAAATAAACTAAACTAAAGTGAAATGCTATTGCTATTTCTGATTTCAAATATGGCCATCATATATGTCTGAACTCCAGACATACAGTGCACCATTTTTCATCAAAATTAATACAGATGTTATATACATATAAGAAAAAGTTTATATATTGTTGTGGTTAACTAATTCAAGAATGAATTCCAGGTTTATTACGCTAACCTTGTCAGTATGGTTCAACAGCAGAAATTCAGTCACAATCACGTATGACTCCTGTGTGCGAAGCACACAACTTGAATAGGAGTCTTTGCAGTTAGTGTGTCTGTATGTATGTGTGTATGTGTGTGTTTGTGTGTGTATGTGTGTCCGTCTGTTCCACTATTATCTCAAGAACCATACTTCGGTTTTTGATGAAACTTGGTGCATTGATGCTCTGGGCCAATGCACAGATTGATTAGGTTTTGATAAAAAAACATGCATATTAATTACCTAATTTGCATGATAATTAGCTGATTTTTAGCTGTTCCATGACTGTTCCACTGATATCTAAAGAACCACTCATTGGATTTTGATGAAACTTGGCACATGATGCTCTGAACTAATGCGCAGATTTGATTAGTTTTGGGTAAAGAATCTGTGCAATATTAATTACCTAATTTGCATAATGATTAATCAATTTTTGGCTTTTCCACTGATATCTCAAGTACTAATCATCACATTTCAATAAAACTTGGTACATAGATATCATAGGACACTGCACAGACATGACAGTTTTTAGAATAATATCAGTACATATTAATTACCTAATTTGCATAATTAATTAATTTTCAGCTTTTGATATGATAAGTAGTAATCACCACATTTCAATAAAACTTGGTACATAGATGTCATAGGACACTGCACAGACCTGATAGTTTTTAGGGTAATATCAGTACATATTAATTACCTAATTTGCATAATTAATTAATTTTCACCTTTTGATATGTCAAGTAATAATCATCACATTTCAATGAAACTTTGTACATAGTTACTTAAGAACTGTGCAGAGACCTGATTAGTTTGGGGTAAATATTTGTGCATATTAATCACCTTATTAGCATGATTAGTTAATTTCAGCTTTTTGCCTGATATCTCAAGTACTAATCATCATATTTCAATGAGACTTGCTACATAGATCCTCTAGGTCTATGCAGAGACCTGATTAGTTTTAGGGTAAATAATTGTGGATACTAATTACCTAATTCGCATAATTAGTTATTTTTCCCATGAATATTCCACTGATATATAAAGAACCACTAATTGGATTTTAATGAAACTTTTAAAATGTATTCATCATCACATTTCAATGAACCTAGGACTATGCAGAGACACAATTAGTTTTTGGTAAATATTTATGCTTATTAATCACCTAATTAAAATAATTAATTAATACTGATATCTCAATTACTGATCATCACATTCAAATAAAATTTGGTACATAAATGCTCTAGAACAATAGACAGGCCTGATTAATTTTGGGTTGTAATTTGTTCATATTAATTCTCTAATAATAATTTATAGTTTTTTTGTTGAATTCACATTTCAATAAAACCTGGTACATAGATATTACATTACACATGCGTTATTAGTTTTACACTCAAATCTGTTCATATCAGTTACCTGATTTACATAATTAGTTTTCAGCTATTCCATCAATATCTCAAGTACAAGTAATTTTGAATTAATTTTTAATGTGTCTTCAATACTTTCAGCACACAAGAGTTCTTGCTAAGCTTTCTTTGATTTTTTCTTTTAGTTGAAGCTGTAACCAGAAATTTCTTCTGTATTCAGAACTCACTGCATAATTATATATTTTATGTACTTTATATATCAATGTACACGAATACTTAACTTTGATTCATTATATTTTTCATCATCAGAGTTTACTTGGAGAAATTGATGATGCCATGAAAACCATGCACAATTATCATCAAGTCTGGAAACAGCTTGGATTTATACCTGAGTTTTACAGCATAGTGAACGGTTTCCCAGTGGAAAAACATGAAGGCTACCCGTTGAGGCCAGGTATGCATGGAATAGCTCATTTTAGTGCAAGAAATCTTCAACTACTGAAAATCATTACCAGTATGATTAATTCGGATACTATATTCTTTATATGCATGTTCTCTCACATTGACCAAGTTGTGTTAAAAGTTGGTAAACTTTTGAGGTGCATAATAAAATATTAGAAGTTATGTAAATGGCCGAACATTAACCAATAAAGGAAACTTTAGGTCTGTTTGGAGTCTATTGGAGATGAGCTTCCAATGCTTCAAATCTTGTGTTATCCTATTTAATATAGCCGACTGGTGGCCATTTTGGTCTAAAAGATTTCTTATATACAAATACTTGATCTAGTACTTGATGTATGATTGCAACCAGAGATATGGCTTTAGATCAGTATTTGTATTCAGATATTTTGAATCTGATCCACAAAAACATTATGGTCCCAAGAGTAATTATATGTTATTATTATATGTACCAATATAGACAATTGCTGTCTTTATAACCAAGATCTGGGGGGGAAAATGGCTTAAAATGCTTGATTTTGATACATTTTTAACATTAAAATGGCTGCATGCACAAATAATAAATAAGATCAAATCAGTTATTTAAATCTATGGTGACTGTGCAACACATTGACCGTGTTACCTGTTGTTACCCTTCAATAGAATTGGTGGAGAGCGCTATGTATTTATATCAAGCAACTAAAGATCCATTCCTACTGGAAGTGGGACGAGATATCCTGGAATCAATTGAACAGAGTGCAAAAACTGGGTGTGGTTATGCCTCGGTAAGACATGTATAATTACTAATTTGTTGGATCGACCAATGTGCAAGCATATCTTACATACACCTGTATGTTTCTTTTCAGCTCCGCTGTCAACTTTGTCGAGCGGAGCTTATCATATGAGTGATTGTCCGTCGTCGTTTTTGGTGCGTTATTTTTGGTAAAAAGTGATATTTTCAACTTCTTGTTAAAACTGTAGGTCCGATTGCTTTGATATTACATATATAGGTACTACATGTGGACCTCTCTCAGTTTTGTTCATTTTGTGATGATATCTTCAATTCTCTAATTTTGGTGAATATTTTTGTCATTTTTGGTAAAAAGTGATACTTTCGACTACTATACATATTGTTCATTTTTGACTCCCATGTGCGAAGCACAAAATGGGAGTCTTTGCAGTTAGTGTGTCTGTATGTGTGTGTGTGTGTGTGCGTGTGTGCGGTCATGTCTATCTATCCAAGTGACGCCAAATCCATGGACGCACACTCACAAAGTGAGCCCATTGGTGAATAGTGAAACCCCTTCACTTTGTTT